CCGCCCCCCCCCCCCTTAGTCCCTTAACAGTAATAGATGTGTGTGTTGAGGAGGAGAGAGAGAGAGAGAGAGAGAGAGAGAGAGTGGAAACACAGGATGTGGTGGGATGGTGAACATTGGTCTCCGGCAGCAGCGTAGACTCTCTCAGAGCCTCTGGAGTTTTATTTCACGGCTGTAGCGTTCCGGACATGGACTAGGATTTGGGAACATGGACTGTTTTCCATTTCATCCAAAGAGGGTACGTGCACACGCGTCTGTAAAGAGGGTACGTGAACACGCGTCTGTAAAGAGGGTACGTGCACACGCGTCTGTGGATTTTTTAAAACTTGGTTTTACAGTCCTGTAAAAGAGGTTGACATCAGTCTGTCAGAGCTGTCTGTGTCTGTGACTGTGTCAGTGTCAGTGACTGTGTCTGTGTCAGTGTCTGTGTCTGTGTCTGTGTCAGTGTCTGTGTCTGTGTCAGTGTCAGTGTCAGTGACTGTGTCTGTGACTGTGTCAGTGTCAGTGTCTGTCTGTGTCAGTGTCTGTGTCTGTGACTGTGTCAGTGTCTCTGTCAGTGTCAGTGACTGTGTCAGTGTCTGTGTCTGTGACTGTGTCAGTGTCAGTGACTGTGTCAGTGTCTGTGTCTGTGACTGTGTCTGTGACTGTGTCAGTGTCAGTGACTGTGTCAGTGTCTGTGTCTGTGACTGTGTCAGTGTCTCTGTCAGTGTCTCTGTCAGTGTCAGTGTCTGTGTCAGTGTCAGTGTCTGTGTCTGTCAGTGTCTGTGTCTTTGTCTGTGACTGTGAGTGAATGTAGATGAAGATCAGAGATAATAACCGATTGGTCTGTGTTCTGTGTTTTTTGTTTTTATAATCAGTGTGACTTTGAAGTCCTGCTCTGACACTGATGTTAAACAGTGATAAAAGTCAGTTCAGGCTGAAGGAGACTCTTCTCTCTCACACAGAACATCCACAGCAGCAGATGTTCTCTAACCTGTGTGGCCATGTGTTTGGCCCACTCTTGTGTAGTGTAGCCACCAGGGAAGCCCCCACTGTGTGTGTGTGTGTGTGTGTGTGTGTGTGTGGATTATGAATTTGTAGACAGCCCTATTGCCACTTATGTTCCCCCTGTTTGTCACATTCCTGGGATGCCTGCTGTGGAACAGCTGCTGCCAACGTCGCAGGACTCTGATTGACATGAATGCTCCGTCCGTACTCCGTATTCTCTGGACTTTACAGACACAGATATCGTCCTCCTCCCTGATTACTGTCCTATTATTAAAATAGGAAACAACAACAACAACTGGACTTGAACTTGTCTTAGTGAAGATGAAACCTCAGGGCCGTGTCCTGGTGATGGTCGTTTGAGCAGAACCTCAGACTTAAGGAGGAGAGGCGGCTTCAACCTGAGCTAAAAGACAGAAGGCAGAGCTATTCAAAAAAGACTTTGCTGCATATGTAGGTTTTAACAACTGTTCCCTGAACAGCAGATTGTTAATATTTCCACTCACAGCGGTTGCTATGCCTGCCATGGAATGGTGACACAACGAACCAATTTAATGTCCACTGTGAAAAAAAAAAAAGCTCCGTCGTCTGCACTGAGAAAAGGGGTTGGGAGTCGGTGATGTGTCTTCATCTGACACAGACAACATCCACTGACAGGTTAAGGAGAGAAGAAGAATAGGAAGCGTCTTTTGACAAATAGTGTTTGAAGCTGCCAACCACCGAGCCGCTGCCTGTTATCTCTCAGTTAGTGCTGAGTAAGAGGAGACGCAGTCTGGTTTGGTTGGCTTTTATTCCCTGGGATTGTTCTGTTTTCCACATGTGCCTGCTCTCGCTGCATGACACTGGAGACATGCAAATGGGGATGGAAAGATGAGCCTTTCTCGCCAAGTGTGTGTGTGTGTGTGTGTGTGTGTTTGGGAGAACTCGCTCCTAAAACATGTCCAAAAGTCCTTGAATGGTAGTATTTGGGAGGTTCTGTAATTAGGCCAAAGCCAGGATAAAAACTGCCTTTGATTAATGCTAGTCAAGCCAAGACCCTGGGTTTTTTTTGTTTTCAGAAACTGGGTCTAAATGTCTCAGAGAAGAGGAGAAAAAAATCCAGTTGATGGAATTTGAAACTCTAATTCCTCTTCCACTCCCTTGTCCTAATCACTCCCATCAAACACACCCACTAATGACCCAAATTGGCTATTCCACGGGGGGGGGGGGACAAAAAGAGGAGGGGGCAGCTGTCTGGCATATGCTGACCACTTGTATGACGGATTTGCTCACTTCCCTGTGTAAATGGATCCAGGCTTAGCGCCGTCGTGAATCTAGGACCATCAATAGCTCTGCACGAATCCAAGCACAGCTGAGGCTGCCAAACATGCTGGTGAGTCTGAATGAGTCCTATTCAGGCGTGAGGGATGGAGGGATGGAGGGGTGAGGCTGAGGGCCGACGACTGTGACTGTGACTGTGTGTGTGTGCTCTATATACCTGTGTGTAAAAGCCCTGACCGTCAGTGTACAGTCCAGATTTACACTAAGCTCGAAGCTGTCCGCTGGTTTTTACCTTGTTTTACCCGATGTAGAGAACTGAGCTGTGTGTCCAGGACGAACCACAAAGATTTGTAACAACTGGGCGGGAAACGATCCTGACTGGCGCTAACACATAGATCTTCCTGATATTAGCATGTTTGTCCAAAAGGGCTGAGAAGAACATGAATGGTTTCACTCGACTTGTTTTACTTCCTCTTGACGTCTCAAAATGTATATATATATTGTTAAATCCCGTGTGTCTTTATTTCCTGATCTGTTTTCTGCAGCTGAAAAGAGAAAAATTCATGCTTTTAAGATCATTATCAGCCGTTGTCAAGGCTGGCTGTCGTTTTGGTCAGTAACAAATGGGTTTGTCTACTCCGTGTCTGTATATTTATCACACATAGAGGTCGGTTTACCAGTGTTTGACTAGGAATTTGGGATTCTTCTTCATTTCTCATCTGTCATTTTGTATCATTGTAACCTACATTATAGGGCATTGTTTCCCAAAGACTGGGTCACGACCCTCAGATGGGTCGCAAGAGTTTTTTTTTGGGTCGTCTCACATCATGTTTCCCAGAAGTTTACGAATAATGTCTATCGACTTGGGCTGCGAAGGTTTGTGACTTTTAAAAATATGGGTCCCCAGAAAAAAAGTTTGGGAAACACTGTTATAGGGCATATATGTCAAAATATATGTTGTATATGTGGTTCAATCTTTTAGCTATTTTTCATGTTGGTGTTCAGGTGTCGACCTGCCTGTTATTTGACTAATCTATCTCCACTGTCTGTTGCAGTGTTCCTGGGTTAGTGTCATTTCTTTTTTTTTACCTCAGGTTTTTTTTATTTTTTAAAGGAAAAAAAAACGCACTTGATTTTTCTGGCCCTGAATATAAGTCAAAGTATTTTATTTCATTTTTCTTGTTTCTAGTGGTTTATTTGAGTTCTTTGTGTTTTTTTTTTTTTGTGCCCTATTGTCTTTAGCGTCACTGCTTTAAGGTCACTTTTGGGTGAACAGTTGAAAACCCTAAGTATCACCTGTGTTATCCAAAGGAAATTCCATTCAAGAGAAACACCATAGAAATTAGTGAACATTAATAATATAAAAATATAATATAAAATTTCTTCTGCTGTTATTCAGAACCAACCCTGGTTTTCACTGATGTGAAGAGTTTTGAAGCAAAACTGCGTTGGATTCACCCATGACCTTCGTAGGGTTATTATTCTATTAAAAAATATATAAAACTGAATTGTAGACATTCTTTCACATGTTGAAGTTGAAGTTGTTCTCCGTGACATAGAACAACCTATATTTTTCATACCCCGAGGTGTAACCTCATTCATTCATACATGACTGGCAGCGTGTTTGTCCCAGTGTCATTACTGCGTCCCAAACCGTCCCCCTCACTGTCCCACAGGGTCGCATTCTAGAGACGCCCAGCAGAGGCGAGCAGAAGAGGAAGCGTCAAGTATAAACACTCGGTGCTTTGAACTGATGAACACAGAAAACAAATGTTACAATAAAAAACCCTGGGGTAGAAATTCCCTGAGCTCTAGGGGCAATAACAGGAGGGTGCAGGGGCAAAGCACCAGAGGGAAAAGAGAAAGGATTCAAATGAAAGAATGCAGATTAAATGTCAACAATCTTTTAAAATCCGCACGAGATGTTGACTGTGTGAAAAAACACTCTCCGTATCTCAGTAAGTCCCGTCTTAAAAACAGATAAACCCAGATTTTGACTTTAATCCTTTAAAGTGCCGCCTTCACCCTCGTGTCAGTGCAGTCGCAGAGAATTTACCACCGTAGATAAACGCTCCCTCGTTACAAAAGACACTAACTGCAGAAATATATTCAGTATTTCTGCTCCTGTGTACGACACAGTATACATTTGTGTTTAATATTTAACCTGATTCTTACATAACCTTCTGCTTTGATCACTTTAACTTGATTTGTTTACATTTTCTTCACATTCCTGCCTCAGTGTTTACAGTACAGACTGTGTACAGAGTACACCTATTTAAAATACTTTTGTGAGAAGAAGTATTTTACTCTCTTCAAGTACTTGAAAGTTTTATATTTCCTTGCAAATAAAAACAAAATAACCGCATCAGAAATTCATACGTGCTAATTGTTGTTGTTTTTGTTTTCATCAATGTAAAAAAAAATATGTATTCTATTCCAATCTATTTTATGCTGTATTGTACAATATTATTATGGCTGTCAAACAATTAATTTTTTTTTCTGATTAATCACAGGGTAGCTGTGGATTAATCAGGATTAATTGTTTATTGACTGTGTAGTAAAGTCGATGGATGGTGGAATTACATATATGAGAATTTCTAACTGATTCATCATCAAAAATGATCAATATTAACTTTTATGATTAACGTATTCTATCAATACGTCTTACCAATAACCTGCAGGAACAGCAGTGAGACCGTAGTAGACCGTAGTAGACTGTAGTAGACAGACAGACCGACAGACAGACTGACAGACAGACAGACAGACTGACAGACAGACCGACAGACAGACTGACAGACAGACAGACTGACAGACTGACAGACAGACAGACTGACAGACAGACCGACAGACAGACTGACAGACAGACAGACTGACAGACTGACAGACAGACAGACAGACTGACAGACAGACAGACAGACAGACAGACAGACTGACAGACAGACAGAAGGACAGACAGACCGACCGCTGTTCCCTTCAACGCCCTTTGACCTCGTTGATTCCTCACCGTCACGTTTGTTCCAGGAACTGTTCAATCATTGTAGGGACACGATCTTCTCACCACTTGACTCTGATGTCCATCTCTCTGACAGGCCAACAAGGACCCACTCTTCCTGACAGGGGTGACCTTCCCTCCAGACTATCATGTGAGCCCGGAAACACTTGTTAAGCTGAGTGTGTTTGATGCCAAGGACAAGAACCAGGATTCAGTGAGTAAATAGTTGTTTTCTTTGTGTCTTTATATTTGTGTGTGTGTGTGTGATATGAACACGTGAGCGTTGAGCTCCGTTGTTCCTGGAGCCCTCAGCTTTATTCCACTGGAGACTGTGATGTGCCTGAGTGTGTTCCACATGTTTCGAGATGTAAATGTTGGACACTCTAGTCCCGTCCTCAGAGGGCCAACGCTTGCGTCTTGTTATCATTTGGTTCCATCCTCCCTCCAGTTCTGAAGGAAAGGGTGTAGCTTTCGATGAGCATCTGTGCATGAGAGGCTGCGGTTGACTAACAATCCCGTGGGAAAACTGGTCGGCACATCAGTGAGAGTGGGACAGAGGGGAATCCTGAGTGGGTCGGGCGCTCTGATTCAGATATTTTTATTACTGACTTGAATCTGTGTGTGTGTGTTTGTGTGTGTGATCCTAAAGGGATCATTAAGTTTTACCATATAAGGCAGACATGGTGTGTTTACATGTTTTGATGCCTCTGCACACACCCAGAAGCAGTATTATTTCAAATACTCTGAGAAAAAACTCAGGTCAAATTTTATAGCTGAGCCATTTACTCAGCTTTAGCTCTGTAAAAAAAAAAAAAAAAAAAAATCAGGTTTGGGAACATAATACTGCTTGGCCTCCTGAACGTCTGGATGTTTTTTGAGCAGTGAAAGCATCACACCAATAAAGGACAGAACTACTGGTTAATTGTCCGGGGGGAGGCGGGGGGGGGGTCTTAGTAACCCCCATAGCCTGACCACAAATGTCTCTGGCTGTTCATAAATCACTGAATATAAACCACATTCTTAATTTAAAGTGTAAACAAACATAATAACAGTCATTAAAAAGAATGCGTTTCTGTGGCACACAATACTTCACCACCACTTCATGGTAACACCAGCGCAATCGGATATTTTCAATGTGTCTTAATGAATAGTTTCCAGACATGGACGCTCAGTCCACACCATTGTTTGGATATGAAGAAGTCGTCAAACCCATGGATATTTGTCTCTCTGCTGATGTGAAAATGTTCTGATTCTTTTACTTTTTGCCGTTCAAATTTTCCTGTTGGGAAAAACTGCTTTGTAATTTAACCTTAAACTACATATAACGCTAACAGCAGGCGATCAGATGACATCACACTGACATCCAGTTACAGACCACATGTTGGTGGGTCATGTGCACAGAGTGGCCCGAGGGCCGGGAGTTTGAGACCCCCTCCTTTAGAACAATTGTCACGGCCACAGTGAATGACTCGGTTCAGTCGGGAATGCGGTATTTAAGGTGGTATTTAAAGGTGCACAGTAAAGGTCAAAGGTCAGAACCCGGGTTCTCTGACTGTGGACATTCTGTTGTTGATCCCAAAGAACACTGTCCCCACAGTGAATCAGAGCCAGGGAGGAGTAGTACTGTAGTACAGTGTAGTACTGTGGCCATTCTTCTACTGTGTGTATATATATATATATACAGAACCTAGAGTTGTTGTTGTTGTTGTTTTTATCTTCCTGTAAAACAACAAAGCGCTGCACAACTGCTTTATTATTTATCAGGTTCAACACACACACACACACACACAGAAATCTTTGGCTTGAGTTCGCAGATGATTTATTTGTGATGTGGAGTTCAGCTGACAATGACCTTACACGCACTGTGCTGACAGGATTTCTGTCTGTCCCTGGAGGCAGGATTTTACTTGACAAAGAGATTTTTCTGTGAGCAGTTCACTGTGCCGTACTCCACCAGAGTTTGTGTTTTACTCCACACAATGGAGCTGCTTTTTTCTCCCTCCCCCTAAAGAAAGAAAAAGCTGGTTAGTTGGCAGTAAAAAGTCCAAATGTTGATTGTGTGACCAGGTGGTTTCGTGCCACTGCGGCTCCAGGTTCTGTCACGCCGTGCCGGTTTGCCTTTACTTGCAAATTTGCAACTTGCCTCTGACTACGCTCCCAGAATCTGCTGAAATGTCTGGACTCGTTTTCGACAAATTTCCAGTGCGAGTATTTGGCTTGTTCAGTAGTACTTTGAAATACAGGTACAGTACTTTCACTGTAAAGGCATTAATCTGAGTGGCCAACTTTTCCCTCCTAGTATCCAGCCAAATAATCCCAGGTGAAAAGTGCCCAGAAAGGAAACATAGAGCTTTAGACCAGGAACAGGATGTACTGAGAACATCACCCTGGAGAGTTTCATAAACTGAATAAACTCTGCATCTTTTTCCACTTGTGTTCTCATCATTCGGGGAAAACATTTGATGATAATGAACCTGGACTTTTGAGTTTTAAACAGGGAAAAATATATATATATATCTTCTTACAGAAATGGAGGATGAAGTCGTCCAATGATCTAAAAAAAAAGTAATTAAAAAAGTGTTCTGCTTTGATCATTATGTGCATAAATATAATGAAAAGTTATATAAAAAAGAATAAAAATAAATTCTAATAATAAAATAAAATATAAAATGATTTAATACCACACTATATGTGTGTGTGTGTGTGTGTTAAAGTATATATATAATAAAATATCAAAGGTAGGACAGCTTTGCTCAACCTTAATACATTTACAGTCATATGGTTTTTTATCGTATTTTTAAGGCATTTGTCTCCAGTTAAGTACGTGTTTTTTGTCACTTTGTGAAAAGTGTTTTGTTTGTGGTTCAAGGGCGTGTTTGACACTTGTGGTTTGGCTTTTAGATTTTTTTTTTTTTTTTAGATTTAACATATTAATAAAAACTCTCTCAATAGTTGCGGTCATTTGCTTTTCATCTGTTGATGTTAGTAATGATCAAATAGAATCTGTGGACAAATTCCACACGAAATATAAGGAACTCAGAAACGGTTTTGTTTTTCTCTGGTTCTGCCTCCACCTGTCTTTAATAACGGCACTGTTTTTTATTAACTATTCTCCTCTGTCTCCACTCTTTTCTCTTGAACTGCTGCGTTGTTTATTTCAGGAATAGAGGAACACTGATCCTCAAACTCTCAGGCACTTTTCACTCATCTTCATTTGTACTCCTTGAGAAACGCCTGGTCAAGGCTGTGTCACGGCCATTATCCCGGGCTTCACAGTTATAAGGGTTTCTCAGAGACTTGGTGTAGTGTTCGTCCAAGGCTGTGTTCAGTTTTTAGTTCACAAAATATGAAGCAGGATTTGGGGTAAAAAATAAATATAAACCAGACTTGTTTTTTTAACTATAATTTGAAATGTTTTTCAAATATATATATAGTTCCCATAACACACTCCTAAGGACCCTCATTAGAATTTACACCATTTTAAATGTTGCCTAAAATATACACATGGGTCTATTTTCATTTAACTTTGTAAGTTGTGCCCTTGGTTTAAGACTAAATGACTCAGTACCTTTAATAACCGGGGAAAAGACTGAGATGATTGAGATACTTCCTGTTTTAACACCTACAATTAGGAGGCACCTGAACACAAGTGGGACGTAGAGTTTTACCACAAAACAAGTTTTTAATGTGCAAGACAGCAGCTAGCCTCGGGTTGTAAGGCATCAATTAGCTCCAAGTTATGGGAGGTGGAGTCAATGAGTCCTAAGATGAGAAGTGAAAGGTAACTAATATAAACCCAGGAGGTGAATCATACTTTAGATGTTTTGAAGCAACAAAATCTCATTATAAAATCCTGATTTACAACATTTAAATTTCTATCTGTAAACTTTTAGTAAACATTTAGGCCTGTTAAACCATTGATATTTTTAATCTGATTAAATACTATTAATCATGATTGAATAAGATGACATTTATAATAATAATAATGATAATAATGAACGCAATGGATGAACACATCAAGAGTTGTTTTCAAAACTTTGGTGAATTTTCGGCCATTTTCCTCAACAATATCAACCAGTCTACAGTTCCTCACCATCCACCTGACAGTTGTATCAGACATTTTCTGGCTTCCCGGCAGCGTGTGTAAATGACAACATGTATTAACTCTGTATTAGAGCAGCAATAAGTGGACAAACATGGACTTATTGGTCATTCAGTGCAGAGTGTAAATGCATTAACATTTTCATCAAATCAAATCCAGTCCAGTTGGACAGCCCTGGTTCACTGCCCTGTGTGAAATGTTGAAAGAATTCCTGGTTCTGTGTCTGAATCTTAATCACGGTTCTGTCCAGGTAAACATAAATATCAGCGTGTGAGGATTAGATGTCTGTGCAGCTCCTGTCAGTCTGTCAAGAACATCTCTGAAATACAACGCAACATTTCACTTCACCTTGGCTTTTAGGGCTTTAAAGGTGAACTGGAGTTATTTGGTGCCTATCAAAGTCTTCACTCATCTTCAGCTCCATCTTCACTCCACCTCCTGCACTCCCTACAACTGCTGCATCACTTTTCACTTCACTTGAAAACTGTTAAAAAGTCATCTTTGATTATGCAGACTTTATATGGAATCCATTTATTAACCATTACTGGAAGATTTCTTCAAACTTTTTAAAATCTTCATCCTGTCATCGTTGAAATTGACCTTTAGGGAAACTTCAAATTCTTGAGTCTCTATCTCATTAGACCGCGTTGAAGTGACACAGTTCTGACCCTAAACATGATCTGACACAACACGTCAGTCGAAGTGACGGATCAGGATTCAATCACGTAAAGCTCACTTTTTGGTTTCATGTTTTATTCAGTTTCAAGTGAAGAAACTCACCGTTCATCAGTGGAACCTTCACTCAAACTGAAATCTTCTGTAGAAGATACTGTGCCATGAACTACACTTTGGTATAATTGGTGATAGAAACTTCACATTGGAAACCTGTTCAATATACAGTAAAAAAAATCTATATATTCACTGTGAGAGTCGTTCAGGGAAATAAGATTTAAAATCCAAACACTCTGCCGCAGGAAACTGATGAAACAAGGGAGTGGAAGGGAGGTGTGTGGGGGGGAGGTGGGGTGGTTTCATAGTCGAGTGATCTCTCCCCGCGCCTTGGGCTTCATATTTAGATATACCAAGATGACACTGGCTGCGTGGTCATGAAT